ACGTATATTAAAATATTTGGCTATGCGAAAAAGCTGTGCGTGTTGGATTCAGTGCGTTGTTTTAAACGCCGCTATGCTTCCGCACTTTCGCTGGCCCACTTGAAGCTGATTGCGAATAATCTGACTATAAGTATATACATATATACATACATACATTTTTATATAATAGATAGTACTTACAATTGTATGCCTTAAGCGTGAAGCCACATACGCATGCGCAATTGGCGGCGGCTATTTTACGCTGCTGTAATTGCAAATTTCGTTCACCTACATATTATAGTGAACCCAAAAACTGTTTAATTTTAAATATATACCTAAATATAAATTTCTTCCGTTATTTACATTTTCCCTAATTTCCATGTACTAAATTTCACAGGCTATAATGCATGCGTTTTCGCTTATGGTCAAACTGGATCGGGAAAAACATTCACCATGATGGGTACACCAGATAATCCTGGATTGATACCACGTATATGTCAAGAGTTATTTGCACGCATGCGTGTTGGTCAAGAGTCAGGTACAGGCTATAAAACTCACGCTAGTTATCTGGAAATTTACAATGAACGTGTGAAGGATTTACTGGGCCCACATAGTGCTGGGCACGGATTGCGTGTTCGTGAGCATCGCACATTGGGACCATACGTCGAAAATCTCTCCCAACATGCCGTTTCAAATTTTGAGGAAATTCAGGTATATTACTGTCTATATGTATTATATATATTATTCTTCTAATATATCATGAAAGCCTGTAGCGTTCTTATGATAGATAAACCTAAAAAAATATATCGGATTAAAATTAAGTTAAAAATAAATTCCTAATCCCAAATACCAAATCGAAAAATAAAAAAGGGGTGTTTCAGTTAGTTATATTATAATATTATAATATAAATATTTCCCTTTTTATTCCTTTTCACTCTTGCTTTGAATATAAAAAAATAGTTGTTTTATTTGATACTCCAATTTTCATTTGATACTTGGTTTTTCAATTTTTCTTATTAAATTGAAGAATAAAATTTAAAATTTTTTATCTCAAACATCTTGGATTAAATATTGGAAATTTAATTTAAAAGATGAAAAGTTCCGATTTTGTGATTATACCTAGATTTTCAGTTGAATCCATGATTTTAAATTTAAAAATTTTTAATATCAAAATCAGAAGTAAAAAATAAAAATTCATTTTTTAATCCCAACATTATTAAAAAAAAACAATTTTTTATTACCAGTATTTTTAAAAATCATTATTGCCTTTCTATCAGGAATGCATTGCGCGTGGTAATATTCAGCGTACCACTGCCAGTACAAATATGAATGATACGAGTAGTCGCAGCCATGCCATTTTCACTATAACTTTCGTACAAGCCGTTTTTATGAATGACATGCCGAGTGAAACTGTTTCCAAAATCCATTTGGTTGACTTGGCAGGCAGGTAAGTGTAAAGAGTTTGGCAAACAGTACATTTATATATCCGTTAATATACATTTAATTTTTTTTTTTTAGTGAACGAGCGAATGCTACCGGCGCCACTGGTCAACGTCTAAAAGAGGGTGCGCACATTAATAAGTCCCTAGTAACATTGGGTAGTGTAATATCTGCCTTAGCCGAGCAAACGAGCACCACTACAGTCGCGCTAGCGAGTAGTCCTGCACAAACAAAACGAATTCTCTACATTCCCTACCGTGATTCCATTCTCACATGGCTCTTAAAGGATAGTTTAGGTGGTAATAGTAAAACCATTATGATAGCTGCACTCTCTCCGGCCGACTGTAACTACAGTGAAACGCTAAGCACATTGCGCTATGCTAATCGTGCGAAGAATATAATCAACAAGCCCACCATTAACGAAGATACAAATGTAAAATTGATACGCGAATTGCGTGAAGAGATCAACAAACTCAAGACCATGCTGAATGGCGACATCGTGAGTACAAAATAACATCACAATTTAATTTTTTTTTATATCTAAAAACAATTTCCATTAGAACACCGTACAGCCTTCTTTGAAAGTCTTGGAAGATCTGCAAAAGAAGGAAGCTCAAGAGAAGGTTTTAACCGAAGAATGGACTGAAAAATGGAAGGAAGCACAATCAATTTTGCAAGAGCAAAAAAGTTTGGGTCTCCGAAAGTCAGGTCTCGGCGTCGTTTTAGACTCGGAAATGCCACATCTGATCGGCATACATAACGATGTCACCACCGGTGTAACTTTATATAGCTTAAAGGTATTTATTTGTACAAAATACTGTCTGTCTATATTTTGGTAACATATTTGTTTTTTTTGTAGGAGGGTGAAACACTAATCGGTACTGATGATTCGGAAACTCCACAAGATATAGAACTTGTTGGGGATGGTATATGTGCACAACATTGTAGAATTGTGTTGCAAGAGGGTATCGTAACATTACATCCGTATCCTGGTGCACAATGTTGGCTCAATGCGCATCTCATCGATGAGCCAACCCATATTTCACAAGGCGACATTATCTTGCTAGGTCGTACTAATATTTTCCGTTTCAACAATCCTGCGGAAGCGGCAAAGCTGCGTAAAGATTTGAGTCGCTCACAACTCGACATGTCGCGATTGTCTTTGATTACGTCATCTCGTGAGAATTTACTTACCTCCAGTTTTTATTCGGAAGAAGACTCGATGAGCGGTAGCATGAATGCGTCACCATTTAAACGCCCCGAACGCCAATACTATCCAACCAAACCGATGTCGCGCGACGATCCAGAATTACAAGATGAAAATCGCAAAATACTCGATACAATCGAGAATGCCTTGAAACAGCTGAATATTGTAAGTATGAACAACAAAAATGCAGAAATTTTAAAAAATTTGTTTATATATTTTTTATATATATTTTTTTAATAAAATAACAGGAGCGCGTGCAGATGCATGACCAATATAAAGCGAAAGTGCGTAAACTAGCTGATGAGCTGAAACGCTTAGAAACCGAAGAAATAGACAAATTGGAGATTTTGCATTGTCAGCAACAAGAACTACTTGCCAGAAAAGATATGTTGCTGTGGGAGAAAAATAATGAAAAAGTGCAGGTACGAGAAAAATTTCGAAGGGTATTTCATAGGAAGAACTGAGAACCAAAAGTTAGAATTAGAAACTGATAAAATATAAATTGTTTTAATGTGCAAATATGGCGACCACTGCTCTAGAGCTAAAATAGTAGGACACGAAGTACACAAGCGCGAAAATATATAAATCCAAAAACATTATTTTTTTTTTTTAATTTTCAAATATAAATTGTGGATTAACATTGTTTTTATCCGGTATATGTGTTTAGAAATTTGAAAGTTTTTAAGATTTTAGGGATTACAAAACAAAAAAATTAATGCAAAACTTAATTAAATTATTTTTTAGTGCATTATCTGCAACCCTGGATAAAATTTTAAATCTGCAAATTAGATGTGACCCGTTCATTTTCGTTGTTTTCGTAAGGTGCATTCTATGTTTTTTTAAGTATTGGTTGGTACAGTTATACAATTGAATTATTGTATTTATTTTCCTAATTTGTTTTATTAATGGTTGAATATTCAAATCCACAGTGTTATTTACTTTACTTTCGATTGTCTTTATAATTTTCATTTTTTATTTATTGATTTATTTTGTACTTTATTAATGTTTTCGTTTTAGATTGATATTGTGTGTAGACAAATTTCAGCATTTCAAACGCAGCTTGATTCAAAGAAACGAGATTTTTCAGAATATGTTGCGAAAGAGTTGCAGGAATTGCAAGACTGTGGCAAATTAGACGAGGTTTGTGTGCTAATAAAAATGTAATAGTTTGTGATATGGTTTCGTATACAGAAAAAAGGATAAACTATACTATATGTATATTGAAACACGGATATACATTTTTTTTTATTAATGAAATTAGTGAATAAATATTATTCTATTTTTAGATTGGCATGAAAATAGAAGAGTTCACTCCACTATCGGATCAATTGCTACTACAAGTTGCGGACTCTCTAGATTTATTTGCATCACAATTTATTAAGGACACAGTTAAGAGAAATGTTAGTCAAATGCACCTGCACATTCTTATATGGTTGGTTTTTACTAAAAGTTTTGTTATTTGATTACAGAATGACGAAATTCGAAAACTGGACGAAAAAATCATGGAAAAAGAGTGTATTCTCAATGCGAGTACAAAGAAAATTGCTCAAGTAGATGAAAAAATTTTACAAATACAATTACAATTAGAGAAATTACAGAATGAACGACAAGGAAATGAAAGCAACTCGGAGGCTATGCGCCAGAAAAAACTCGAGTAATTTGAAAATATAATCTTAAAAAAATTCTAAATAACTAAAATTAATATATTTTATTCCCATTAACAGAATGAATCTAAATTTGGCGAAACAGAGTTCAACAAACACCGATGACTCGAATATAGCTAGCGATACCTACCACACAGCGCTATCGAATGTTTCACTTAATTCCCCGACCATTGTCGACGATCAGATTAGTCCACTAAGCACTCTCTCTGCGACATCAGCAGACTTAGATGAAACAAGTACCACAGAGAGAGGCATGTCTTCAAGTGTATCAATCATAAGCAACCCATCTGACACTAGGGAGATAGGCAACAACAATTTAACGCCCAATCCATCATCTCCAAAGGCGATAATGAGTGATAGCGGTGTATATTTGGATTCAATGAGAACGACTCAACAGCAGTATTACAATGGTTTTGTTACCAGCAGAGCCAAAGATAATAACAATAGACTCGGCGAAGAGTCTGGCTTAAAGGAGAGCGATTTAACGACCGCCAATTCTACATTCAATGGTGCTGCTGTACGTACATCCGATGAGGATAGCGCATCGTGCTCGTCATGTGAAATGGGTCGCAACTCGGATGTGCCACGACCATATTGCTCTATGCATGCGCTTAGGCGTAAAATTTCCAACCAGAAAGCCTTAATTATGAAGAATCTCGAAATGAATGTGAGCAAGTCGCAACTAGATGAACAAATCGTGGAACTACAGGAACTGCAACGCAGACTTATTGCGATGGAAAAGGAATTACTGGAATCGCCGGGCGATGCTGAAAATGATCAGTGGGGTACATGTTTGCAACGTGAAAATGACATGAGCTACGAGTTAAGTGCGAATGATTGTATGGAGGAGTCCTCCTATGTGCCCAGCATGACACGATCTTGCCCTTCAATGAGAGATTTTCGTATGTAGAGTTTATTTGTTTCCGCTTTATGTAATGTTAATCGTATAATGGTAAACTCACTGTTTTCTTACTCGTTTAACAGCCGAAGCCGAGCACTTCATTACAATCCCGAGCTTTGTGATACGCGGCGCTGGTAAGCAAACACATTATGAATACGAAGTGCGCATCGCACTCCCTGATGGTAAGCTAAACATCTTGCGACGCTACAGCCGTTTCAGAGAATTACACTTGAGTATGAAGCATTGCTATGGAGTAAAAGTGAGTATAAATATAAAAAATATTAGTACTACAATTCAATATACAATATTATAATTCATGGTATACATATATTGTAGATCAGCGCCCTACCCTTTCCAAGACGTGAGATTTTCTCCTCCAATAGTGAATCGGTGGCTAAACATCGAAGACGACTACTCGAGCTTTATTTGCGACGTTTGTTTGTAGTCTGCACGAAAATTCCGCAATGCCCCATTTATGAGGGACCCGGCGGGCCGGGCCTCACCCGTGCTACTCTGTCTCAGCTGTCACCTTTTTTCAAGAAAGGTTTGTTCGAGAACGGCAAGCACGGGACGGGATAATAGTTACTCTACTGCTAAATTATATCCTGCCTTTAGTATGCCTTTTAATTTATTTTTACTATTTGTTAAATTATGTTTACTTTGAAAGGTAATTTATACGTATGTCACAATCGAACTTTGATATATATCCTAAGTGTTCCTCAATTTCATATTTACGCATATTTACAATGTATGCCAACTATTAGTTTTTTTTTTAATTTTTGTAGAATATTATATAAATAATAATTGTATTTGTTAAAATTTTGTTTAAAACTTTATTAAGAAAGCAAAGTAAACATTATGAAATATCTCCAAAACAAATTGCTGTATATTCAGATCTTTTTCGTGACAATTCTAAACTGCAACTCAGCAACAGAATATGCCTTATGGGTCAAATACATTACGCTAATATCTGCAAAGCAAACCTTAACTGCTGTTGTACCTGATATGGGCGTAATATATTGAGATCACTGTAACTTTGAAAATTTAAATGTAAAACATATTTGCGCAATAAAAGAGTGAAATGAAACAATAATTTGTACATATTTAAGCATATATATTTTATAAGATAAAGACCCAAAACAAACTGTGATTAATCTCTCGATATTACGGCGAAAAATAAAATGTGTAAATGCCAGTTTAATTATACATATATGCAGAGAGTATGTACATTTAGTTAACAACTTTCAAAACTGTATTACAAAAACTGGCGTGTTTATGGTTATGCTTATGATGAAACATTTAATTCCACTAAAGTTGATACTAAACATTACTTAAAACGTTTATTGTCTTTAACATTTTCTACACAAACATATTCACAATTTAAACACACACTATGAAATAAAGTGAAATATCTATTAATAATAAAAGGTAGGCAGAAAGGATTTAGCAGTAGAGTAAATAATACTAATAGTTAATAATATTAGAATAATAGTTAATAAAATTTACATATGTATGAATTTAGATACCGGTAACTGTACATACAATTAGATATAAATTAATTGAAAAAATTATGTAAAATTGTATAAATGTTGACACACGATTTGAAAGTAGCTTGAAAACTACAAAAAATATTTTTTTTTCCTATACTAAACTTTTCATATTCAAAAACACTCATTACAACATTAAGCTTTCGCCCTTGCTTTTGTATCAAACAGTGATTAAAACCTGTGAAAACTTGATTATTTGTAAATTAAAATTGCTTTCAAAACTTACTGCTAACGTAATTATTTTTGTTTAAATACAAAAAAAAATTCCTTGTCTTGCATTCGAAACAGTAAGAACATTTATTATAACCTACTTAGAAGTACAATTCGATGAAACTTCCATCTACCAGTGCAAACTTGTTACATTTCATTAGAAATTAAAATGTGTATTAATAAAGTGGTAAAAAATATAAATATATATTATTTTGCTGACAAGTTGTGACATCTGTTCAATAAGATATTTCAGTATAGTTAAACTTATTACCTAACAGTTAGTTAAAATATATGAATACAATGAAGATAAAGTATCTATGTATGTAAATAAATGTATAACAGTATATAATAATGCACAAAATATCGTTATTACACACATTTATGCTCCAAGGCATGTAAATGTGTGTGCATATGCAATGTATGTAGCAGAGCTCATTAGTTGCGGCCTAATACATTATGCATGGTTGTAAGCGTTACATGAGTTAAACTATATAAAGTTGAAAACTTTTTTGTAGAATTCTCTTCATTAAACCATTCCGATGTGTAAAAATATATCGATATTTGGTAGATTGTTAAGCCGCATTCATGAATGGCAAGGATAAATTCGAATTTTTGTATTATGGCAAATCTTAATAGATTAATTACTTATTAGTTCAATAATACTAACAACGCTTATATTCAGCTCAGTATAACAGCTTGAAGCGAAAATCATCCTTTTGGTATTTCAAAGACCTAGGTAATGATCTCTGATATGTACTAGGGGTGTTCCTATTTTGTAGTTGTTAAATATATATCAGTAATTCTCACACGATATTTTTACATCTCTATGTTTGTTAATTATTTAAAGAAAAAAAAAGGAATCACAGGTAACATCATGAAATATGTTTTTCGTTGAGAAAATGTATACCAATCATTTTTAATTAATCATAGTTATGAATTATGTCAATTATTATGTAGTTTATATATATGTATATAGTTAAATACAGAGTAAAAAAGTGCGCCCCTAATACATACAGACGTACATACATATTAATATTAAGCCATTGTTGTACAATCAACAATAATTGTAATTAGCAAAAATAAAAATAATATAAATAAAAACTTTCGTATAAAAGCAAGAAATTTGATTTATGTTTGTATTTGCATACATATGAGCAGCACACCAATGCACATATTGCTCATACACATACTTGTGTGTGTACTGTAAAATATTTTTTTAGTTGCTCGAAATTTATGTGTGTGCATTGCAATCATGTTTTCACATGCTCTTGTGCGTGTTTCAAAAAAATTTAAAATCGTTTCAGTGAAATATTTGCCTCCTTGTTGATATTATTAAAATCGGTCACGGTAACACCAATGATTGCGATATGTGTAGAAGTGGAGTGGGGAGTAACAAATATATCCTAAATAGGTTATTATTAACATCGACCCATTGAGTTGTACCAAAAAGAAAAATCGAACACTAGGAAAACCATTTTCTGAAGAGGCAATAAATGCTTGTAACTTCAAATACTGAATAAAAATGTTAAATCATCTATTTTTTCAAGGTCTTTTTTAGACGGTTTGAAAATACAATTTTTTTTAAATTTTTTACACGATTTTATTGTAGCTCGATTCAAAATTCTTTGGGCTGAGATTTTATTTATTATATTCAGTTTTTGCAAAATATATTCATATTAAAAATCTAGGGGAACTCCCTTTTTGTGGATACATGCAAGTTTACTGAGAGCAATTGTAAATATCACAAATTTAGAGGAATTTCCTTTTCATGCATAGATGTACTTAGTAAAGACATTTTTTATAAGCAAATTTGTTTTTCCAACGTTACATTAAATTTAACTTTAACGCTTAAGATCAAAAAGAAAAGTCAAAAAAATATTTTGTATTCATTCGGTTATTTTTAGTTCCTGAACTTGCCATACATTTAATTTACATTACTTTTAAGCTTAGAGCGCATTTTTTTCTTCAATAGCTGGCTTGTGTAAATAAACATTATACTTATATGGGATTTGGTAAAATAAACTAAAAAATCCTTATGCTTCATAAATTTTAATAGGTTTTAAACAAAAGGAACCAATCACCTAATTTTGCATACGGTCAATGTCTTTTTTACTGTAAAAACATTATTAGGTGTATGTGTGTCCGCTTGCGGTCAATAAAAACACACCAAATATAATAGAAATAAGATCAAATGAACAATTTGTTTATAAGTTTATAAGTTAGAATATAAGGATACTTTTTAATTGTTTGACTACATAGTGTAAATTAGCTATCCACAAAAATATTTCTCGAAAATGGTTTTTATAAAGAATGGTCAATTAATTAAAAAAAATGAAAAAGCACATTCTATGAAATTCAGGATTAATTAAAAGAAAACAATGTGAAGTTAATTTAAAGCAGCTAAATCATTTTCACCAATAACGGTAGAAATATTGACTACACAAGAGGCTCTTCTAATAACGAGTCGTTCTTTCTTTAGCCTCAATAACTTCCTTAATTTTTGAAAGCATGGAATTCACTAGGACCTCAATTGATTTCCTTATTACGGGACCATACCAAACCAGTTCTAAAATCTTTATCAGTTGACTTCTATTTGTTGGCTTCTGTTTAGCAACTTCACAATTCATCAAGTGCCGTAGATCGTTAAATGTATTGGCCAACTAAAAATAAAAATTCGAGCTGTTTAGGATCAAACCCACCAATATTGTATAAATATTTTATACAAGATTTGTTTTCAATCAAAACTTGACCATTTTGCACGATGGCATGGCGCTGAGTCATCTTGGAAGATTAGGCTATCCTTGTAAGAATAATGCTCTTCAATTGCCGGTACTAAATTGTTAACCACTGTCGCATAATTGCAACAAAACATGGTATGAAAAGCACCACCATTCACTATTCTCTTTTTTTTGTAAAAGACGAACAATAGTTGGATGGCTACAATCAATAACTAAAAAGTGTGCAACCCAATTTAAAAAAAAAATGTATTTCTTAGTGTCTACCAGATCTAGTAGAACTTTTTTTAAATTTACAGTTATATAGCTGAATTATGTAGACTATCTACAAAAGTGGTGGTGCGTTTATTGACCGCAAGTTTATGTACAATACATATATTGAAATATTGATTATTTTTATGTTTTATAAAAAAGTTTAGTTTATTTGATCTGTTCAGATGCCGTTGGTTTCATAAACTAGATTATGTCGTACTAATGATGAGCTCTTACATACTCAACTAAGTCTATTCCGCTCAAATTTACTTTTAATATATATGAGAGCTATAAAAATAGAATGTATACAATGTGACATCGAATTAATTGGTTGTTCAATTTGCAAAACGCACTTAATCATTAATTTCCACCCATACTTTTTACATTTATACTTGCATAAGCAAATATACATGCATGTTGAATGTGTGGAGATAACGAATTGTTGTACATGTCGTATGAGTAATATTCAATGCAATTTTAACATATCAGATGATACGTGGGAACACCACTTCCAAAGACCACAACGCATTTCGATAAAAAGCTTTTAGCATACAGGATAGAGGCTAGTTTTATTTATATATTTTTATGTGGCATTCATCATTATATTCGTGTTGAAGAATTTTCACTCTGCAGCAGGTAATCCGAAACCAGTGAGTGTAGTTTTCACAAGAAAAAGTTCATAACTAACATCCATTAGAGAATATAAGCGATTTTTTGTAGATATTAATTTTCAAAATTAAGATTTTTTAAAGAAATGCTGTAATTTAGTTTCTTTTCAGTACACTTTAGTTGTTGATTTTTACGATATGGGTCTAGTGAAATTTTCCGAGTCAACTTTAATTGCCGTAATTGCGCCCTACGTATGGACTTTTTCATTGTTTGCTGTTGTGATGCCGCCATATTACATTCTTCGTACGGTTTCAACATATCGCCATTGGATGTTGCATATTATGCGCACAGTTTTCATCCTATATATGCTAGTGCAATTTATTATCAGCTTTTGGGTCGCATATCTCTATAACATGCTGCTTAGTAGTTTTTTGATGCGAAGCTCTTTGGATATTATGACTTGTGTATTAAGCATAGGCATTAATATCGTACAGCTTATAGTGCAAGTAACGGTATATGTGCAAGCGTTAACTAAACACCGTCTACTCCGTGACGTGCTCAGTGATATTGTACAATTAGAATCGGATATACGTAAACATTTATCGACCGCTTGTTCATTGGCATCTTTTCGTTGGCGTTTAGGGCTTCGAGTCGGCATTTGGCTCGTAGTGGTTTCGACTTTTGTACCTTATCTGAGCTATAAGCTTTATACTCAATCTTTTCAACCAATTAAGCGTGGAATTATTGTATATATTGGTACGTTAATCCATTTCAAAGGAGTTGAGTATTGTGTTAGTGTGGAAATGATACAGGAGCTCCTACACCTGGTTCAGCAGCAATTGGTACATTTGAGACGAGAGTTGGTGCGCTGTGAAAGAGTGGAATTGCGTTCGAGTTTATACGATGACTTGCAAACGAACCAGAAACTTCTAGCTCGTGTCTGGAATCTTCTAAATCAAATAGAACGATATTTTTTTATTCCTATGCTTATGTTTTTCTTCATTAATGGATTCGCTATAATTCAAGCTATACATTGGGCTTACATCAACTTTGAGCGTGATAACTTGAACTTGCGTTTATGTAAGTGTTATTATCGATGGTGAAACTCCTCTTCTTTCGGCTAAATAGCACTCAATTTATAAAAATATATGTAATAAGCTCTATTCCAATACAACATGAGTTTTGACTAAAAGCAACAAACGTTCAGGCATAACCAGCATTGCGATGCGACTGAGTTTTTCTTAATCAGCATTACTTTATTTACACTTTAGGTTTATTTTGTATTCCAACTCGATTCGAATTTTTAAAAATAATCTCATTCCTAGTCCGTTCATCATCAAAATAAGTACATTTAGAATTAACCAAATAAATTTCGACATTAAAATTACGAATATCATTTTATAGAGGTTCCAACAAATTGGATAGCATAGACAGTCAATATGAGCCTGATTGAATATATCATTCTCACACTAAGTGAAATTGATTGTCAGTACAGAAAGTACTTCACACGAAAATTCTTTCTAGATTTCTAATATTAGATTCTGAAACTAAGTTAATATTATTTAAATTTCTTATCTACATATTTAGATCGCATAGTCTACACCGTCATGATAATTTTGGCTTTGCTCTTACCCTGCTATCTGAGTCAGTGCTGTATTGATGAGGTATGTAAATTGCTATCTAGTATATTCATAAATATATGTATATATGTATTTCCTTACTTACTTTATTTTTTTTTTTTTATTTAAACCGTGCCTAAAATAATTTACTTTTCCAACGCATTTAACTTTGGATTTTAAATCTTTTGCATTAAACTTTGTATCTCTAAAGCAAATGAACCTAAAACTTTGAAAATTCGAATAAAAAATTTAGCGTTCTACAAACTATAAAAATATTGCTTTAAAATATATACGGAGTTAAAGTTATGCATCAAATGTACTGACCATTCATAAAATCTGTGTAGCTCATACGACGATCAAAAAATGTCAAGTTAAATCAATAAATTTGTACATATACCTACATACACATGTACTTCACCTAATATTACCTATATGTGAAAGCCTTTGTCAAAAATTGTAATTTTATTCATACTGTTACGAACTTCGATGGGCTGGTGAAATTTGTAATAGCAGAAAACCTAACCTCTAATTCCTCGCAGCTCGCAATTTTTGAAATAACTTGATAAAAAAAGATAATTTCAATTAGCAGAAGTTGCACGTAAACTATGTATCAATTATTATAATATTGAATTATTTTTGCAGTACAACCGCTTCGGCACAATATTGCACAAATTGAAGACCATGGGCATTGACGAACAACTCAATATGCGTTTACAGGAGTATTCACTTCAACTAATGCATCAAAAGATGCTCTTCACTTGCGGTGGTCTATTTGATATAAACTTGAAAAATTTTGGAGCGGTGAGCAAATAAGTATGGATGAAAAATGAACATTTCATTAAACAAATTTATCTCTTTATAATTATTTAGATAAGTCTCACAATTACGACATATATTGTTATACTAATTCAATTCAAATTACAAGCAGAAACTGAGAATAAATCGAATATTGGAATTCGTTTTGAATAAAATGATCGTTTTAAAACATTAATCGTCTAATTGCAGCTTATGTATATACATATGACATGTAAAAAGCACTAATTTGGAATAATAAAAATGCAAACATAATGAAATTTTATGTAAAAGTTGAATTTGAGAAATTAATTAAAATTCTGCTACATAAGTGTGGAAGAGATTACTGTCAATACAAAAGTCATCGGCATTTTTGGTTCTATTTCATTTTTTTACAATATTCGCGCCTTTATTAGGACCAATAGAAACTTATATTCCATCTAATATTACATTTTTTTTTAATTTTAGTGGGTTTGGAGGCTTCGAGTTCATCTTGTTTAATAGGATTTCTAAATATGTAAATCTGCTGTGTTACCCTTATGATAACAATTCGTAATTATTGACGGACCGATTCAAATCTCCATCGCTCTGCAACAGGTTTACTTTTCATGCCACATTGGCTTTATGGTCCAAGAGAGCAAATTAATTTTAATTGTGTACTTAAAAAAGATTTAAATGATAATCCGTTCATTTTTATACAACCGCAATATGTTCCGCAGAATATAATCTTTGGTTTATCTGACAGTTGTTTATAACACCTAAAAATAATTCAGATGCATATACCCTTATATAATATATCGTTTTGACAAATAAAGGTTGGCGAGTATGCCTGTCTTAGATCTGACGTCTATCTTGGTGTAGAAACTATATAGTTTATTATAAAGTTTGTAAGACTCCGGTTAAAATTTCCACGACTTAAATAGCTAGCAATGTAACAATTGACTGCACCCGAAATTAGCTTTTCCTTACTTGCTTACTTTATATTAATTCAGAATTAATGTGACATATTTCAATTAATTTGATGCCTTCGTTTTATTCCTTTGAATATTGATAGTAGTCTCTATTAAATGTTAGTTGATACAACGACGTGCATAAATGGACAACTTGCGCCCTGTGATATTTTCCGGATCTATATTAGTAGTCGCCGTTAGACCCTACCTCTGGGTGCTCACGTTATTTGCAAACTTGCTACCGCCTTATTATATATTACGCACGACTTCAACCCATCGTCAAATGTTGTTATTTCTAACACGCATTATTTTCGTCTTATATTTACTATTACAAATGTCTATTTGTTTTTGGATCGGGTATAAAAACAGAAATTTCGTTATTAATTATGTGAGAAGAAACTCCCTGGACAGCAAAACTTTTATTATGGCTATTGGCATCCTTATTGTGCAGCTCACCATACAATTAGTGATTCTTACTCAAGCATTGACTGGGCACCAACTTTTACGAAGCATATTCATTAATGTAGTACAACTGGAATCAGATATACGAAAGCACAGTGCAGCCGTGTATTCGTTGTGTGACATTCGTTGGCGTTTATTCTTACATGTAGGAATTTGGTTACTAGTTACTTGCACTTTCGAAGTGTATATAAGTTATGAAATGTTCCCTCCTGCATACACAGCTCTAATTTACCTACTCTCAATATTTGGCGGTATACTAATTCAAATGAAAGGAATTGAATACTGTGTATGGGCGCAAATGATACAGGAGCTGTTACACCTGGTGCAGCAACAGCTGATACATTTGAAAGAAGAACTGGTGCGCTGTGAGAGAATGGAGCTGCGTTGTAGTTTCTTTGCCGAAATACAAGCCAATCAAAAATTGCTGGCTCGTGTCTGGGATCTACTCAATCGAATGGAGCGATATTTTTGCATTCCAATATGTATGCTATTCTTTTATAATGGATTATTAATAATACAAACCATACATTGGAGCTATATTAATTTTGAGCTTGATGATTTGAAGTTGCGCTTATGTAAGTTTTTCGGTGATATCATTTATGTACATATGTTATATATAATATATTATTATAAGCATTATTTATGCACATATAAGAGTCAAATATATGATTTGAGGATACTTTCACCCTCCATTGCCTTTGGCGATTAGGGCGTGTATAGAAACTGCTAGACAACCGCACTCCAAAAACGGCACTATACATGGCAACCGGCCACATCAAAACATTTTTATACATATTACAAAAAGCATTTTTCCACATACATAAAAGTAACTTCAATTTGATAAAGTTCAACATATCCGAAGTGTGTTCAAAAAATAACTGGAATTTTCGTTTTATTTTTAATAGTTATTCATTTGTTTAAGCACTTATGCCAGCGCTTCTTTTAATCGTTAAAACACTTCTCCAACTCAACCTAACCTAACCTTTAGCTCTTTCAACGATGCGCTTTAAATGTTATCAATGCAGCGACCCTTTAAGGTTCTCTTTATTTTCACACAGAGCTATGTCTGCCGAATATGGAAGCTGGAGCATCCTTACAGTATTTTTTTTTTTTTGTTTTGGCCAAGTATTCACGAACAAGCAACGAAGTGTGAGCAGGTGCATTATCGTGGTGCAAAAGCCATTAATTGTCTTTCAACATATACGGACGTTTTTAATAAAAACAAGTAGGATGTTTTGAGTCGTATTTTGCATTTATCGATACCACCACACTTTTCTCACAATAATGCAAGTATATTTCGGCCAATATTATTGTACATTAATGTCAGTGTATATTAAGAATTATTATATAATTTTAATATATTTATTGCGGATTGCCTCAAGACATGGCCCAGTCGATAAGCCAACATCATCAGCGACTTCTTTGATTGTGATTCGGCGATCATTCATAACCTTTCACTTTCACCACGTTTTCATCGGTTGTTGATGTGCTGGGGCGTCCGGGAAGCTCGTTATCTTTAAAGTCTTCATGGCCATCTTGGAAACATATATCACTCGTAAACTCTTAATTTACTCATAACAGACTTACCATAGGCGGTTGTTAACATTTGACACACTTTGTAACAATTAATTTCATTGTTTATGCAAAATTTCATACAAATTCTTTGATCCATTTCTTTTAACAAACGAAAATCGCCAAGCTAATAAAAACAAGTCTAACCTTTGTTACTGCTACAGACAAAGTGAGCAAGGAATATAGTTGAAAATTATATCGTAGTTCATGGGCTGTATATCAACATAATAAGAGTTTTGACAATTGGACCCTCCAAACTCGCGAGATTTCAAAATTCCCGTTATTTTTTGAACACACCTCGTATATTCATTATTTTAATTTCTCGAAAATTAATTGATTCCCAATTCGAAAATTTCTTTGAATTGAAATCTATGTTTATTTCTTATATTTGTATATTTAAATTACTGCAAAAGAAATTGTGTAAAAGTGAGGTTAATCGTCAGTTGATCATCATAATCCAAAAAATTCTAGCCAAGCTCAGGGGTTGCTAAACGGTTGGCATCCAATAGAAATTTTACATTTTACTCATTCTTTCTATCCACGTTGTTTTATATAAACAAGCTTCAAGTTAAATTAAGGTTGTTTAATAAGGAAAAAAGATATTTTATAAAAATCTGCATCTTGATTTTGATTGGTCATTTGGCAGCTATATCTACAATAATCTGTGTCGAATTTCGCGAAGATGGCAGCTATATCCTTTAAGGGCCCGCTACGCGATTCCGACAATTAAGCAGATTTTTGGAAAGAAAAGGACGTGTACAAAATTTATGATCTTAGGGCCTAGTTCCCGTATATACAAATAGACAGACGGTTATGATTAAATCGGCCCAGCTCGTCATGCTGTGTATTGTGGCATACTTAATATACCCAGTTCAGGGTAGCAGAAAAAGATCTGAGCTGATTGCATAAACCTTTGCCATCGCTCTGGTATACTCGAGAACATATTTTTAAGCAATAAATTTAAATAACTCACACACTGACCGACATATTCGGCATAAAGTTTGTTAGAATAACGAAAATCCTTATATGAAGTTAATGAGCGTTGGAGTAATTCGTAGACTAATTTCACATATTTACTTAATGTTAAAAGTACTTCGTGTCTCCATTTTTTATTCGTACGTTTGCTATCAGATAGATTAACTAATTAAATAATACTAGTACATTTACTAATTATCAAATACTCATAAAAACATCTACAGTTGTATTTGTATGAAGATATATGTAATTATATGAGATATCCTTGCCACAAACAAATCATGATAATAATTAAATAAACACTTTCTTTCTTTAACATTGGCAAATACTAGTAAAGGGCAAAAGTGGATATTAAAAGGAAAATTTTACAGTTATTATTTGGTAAAGGTAACTCCAAGTTTACACAAGTAAATTATGCCGCCGCCGAAATTGACCGAATCCGCGTTAATTGTCGTTATTACTCCCTATTTATGGACATTTTCACTGTTCGCAGTTGTGATGCCACCATTTATGATATTGCGTAGAACACCATCCCATCGGCTTGAGTTTTGTATTATTTTCGCTGTATATATACTGTTTCAATTGAGTATAAGCGTCTGGGCCGAATATTTAAATAGTGCGAAGATCAGTAATTTTGTGCACAGGAACTCTATGGATAGTGTGACTTATGTTTTAAGTCTTGGTATCAATATCGTACAACTCATAGTGCAAACAGTTATCTATACTCAAGCATTAACCGGATACCAACTACTTCAGAGCCTACTTGATAGCGTGATGCAGCTAGAATCGGATGTAAGACTGCATTGTTCAGCTGTGTTTACGTTCTGCTCTATGCGCTGGCGATTTCATAAGCGTATAGACGCTTGGTTAATGATAGTTTGTGTTTTTCTGCCGCAACTGACTTATACCCTCGGCACGACTACACTAACAACACTTTCTAAATGCATAATTGTGTTTTGCTCCATATTGATTCAAATGAAAGGAGTTGAATATTGTGTATGGGCGCAAATAATACAGGAGCTGTTACACCTGGTGCAGCAACAGCTGATACATTTGAAACGAGAACTGGTGCGCTGTAAGAGAATGGAGCTGCGTTGTAGTTTGTTCGCTGAATTACAAGCCAATCAAAAATTGCTGGCTCGTGTCTGGGACCTACTCAATCGAATGGAGCGCTTTTTTTGCATTCCAATATGTATGCTATTCTTTTATAATGGATTTTTAATGATACAAACCATACATTGGGGCTATATTAATTTTGAACTTGATGATTTCAAGCTTCGCTTATGTGAGTTTAGTATAATATAGTACATCTCTACTTTTCACAGAAATTCACCAGCCGTTCAAAGTTGGCTTATCGTTCTCACAATTAGTTAATATTGTGACCTTACTTAACATAGTATTTGTTTGCAATACCAGTTCAAAAAGCATTCATCTCTAATGTGCATGCATATATGTAGTTTTGTATATGAAAATAACAAATAAATAGCTTACACTTTTTTTTTTAAATAGATCGCATTTGCTACATTGCCATGTTGGTTTTTTCCTTGTTTATACCCTGCTACCGGAGTCAGTGCTGCATTGATGAGGTAATATCGAACTAATATAAATATTACCAAGTATAATAAACTTTTTGTAACCCTTTGCAGTACAATCGATTCGGTACAATATTACATAAATTGAAAACTGTTGGGATCGATGAACAACTGAATATGCGTGTACAGGAGTATTCGCTTCAACTGATGCATCAAAAGATGCTCTTCACTTGCGGTGGTCTCTTTGATATAAACTTGCAGAATTTTGGAGCGGTAATAAAATAAGTACAAATGATTATGAAATTTTGTAAAAACTCATCTTTTTTTCACAATAATTTAGACTATCTTGACGATTGCCACTTACATTGTTATACTAATTCAATTCAAATTACAAGCTGAAACGGGAAGGAAATCGAGACTTGAAGCGCATATTGAATAAAGAAAAAAAAAATTAAATGTAATTTCCTTATTATTATTTATATAATAAATATATGATATAATATTAGCTATTTAGTGTTGATCCGAATGTCAAGAAATAAATACCTTGAGTTTATATATACACATGTATATATATCTATATACCCCTGATCAGGGTATATCAAGTTGGCTACGATGTTTGTAACACCCAGAAGGAAACATTGAAGACCATATAAAGTTCATATATATATGTATATAAATGATCAGGATAACGATTTGAGTTAATTTAACCATGTTCGTCTGTATATGTATATGCGAACTAGTCTCTCAGTTTTTGAGATATCGATCTGAAATTTGCTCACGTCCTATTCTCCCCAAGAAGGTGTCATACAAACTAATCCATCCAGTTCATGTATTTGTATGGAAAAGTTTTTTATTTGACAAGATGAAATTCCTTCATGAAATTTGGAGTGAATTATTGTGAAAGGCAACGCCACAATCTCTGAATTGTTCCATTGTAGCATATAGTTGTCATTCAAACTGGCCGATCGAGTTTTTTGTATGGAAACCTTTCATTTGTAAAGTGTATTCTAGCTTCGGTTAACGTTTTTGCTTGTTTAGTACCGAAGTCTATCTTGCCAATGTGAAAAAAGTAAGAAATGTTTACTTCTTATTATTAACAAATTTTTTATCTAGGTTACATAAATTTACAACAACCTGAAAGTAAATATGTTCAAAACGTGATTAAAAATAACACCCTAAAACCCCTTATCGTTCTAATATTTGAAAAAAAAAGCTCGAGAAATTTTTTTTGCGATTTTCAACGAAACGGTAAGTAGAGTCAAAATATTATACTACTAAAATAAAGACATTTTAGATCATTAAATTATCTAATAAAAATGTAAGAATGCTGTTTTCCTAAGACCTACCGTTTTTGAGATAAAATTATCGTAAATAAATATATGCTGAGTTGTTTTTTTACAATTTTTTTGCATCTATAAATTCAAAGGCTAAACACCAAGATGGTGAAAAATGTATATATAAATTTGCTATATAATACTGTACTATCATACTCATTGAACCCCATTAGTAATCAATTCACTTAAAAACATACAGCTAAATGTACTCGTATGTAAATGTGTGGAAATTGAAATACGTGGCGTATGAGTGACTTTTAATGCAATTTACTATGACAAATACATGTATCTGAGATATTTTTCATAGAGATAACAGGACAACACATGCTTCGCTTCCATTTTAACTTATTAAAAAGGACTTGATAAAATAAGTGTTTGGTAAAGACTTAATTTGGAAAGTGCCAACTTTTCCAATTTCATATTTACACAATATTTTCGCACATAAGGAATGCAGTTTTTATTGAGTGGTATTAACTGTGAACTCATAGAAGTCAGGTACAAAATGCGTCCAGTGAAATTTGCTGAATCTGCATTATTAACCGTTATTACACCTTACTTATGGACATTATCATTATTCGCTGTCGTGATGCCACCATTTTTGATTTTACGTAGGGCACCATCCGATCGGCTTTGGTTGTTCCACCTATTACGAATTATTTTCGCAGCATATACACTACTTCAATTGACTGTTGGCTTTTCGGTGGAGCATATAAAGAATATCGTGGTCAGTAGCTTTGTGTTGAAAAACTCTTTGGACAACATGACTCGTATTTTATCCATTGGCATCAACATCATGCAAATCATGGTCCAAATAGTGATCTATATGCAAGCATTAACTGGACACCAACTATTACGGAGCATACTCACGAAAGTAGTGCAACTGGAATCGGATATACGAAAACACTGTACGACTATGTGTTCGTTGCGTGCCATTCGTTGGCGGTTCTGTCTACGTATCGGAATTTGGTGGTTCATAGTTTCCTTCTTTCTATTGCAACTGAGTTATGCGCTCTCCGACCAAAATCTGGCGCCGCGTTTTCGTTGGATCACTGTGGTGTTCAGTTTGTTATCACAAATTAAAGTGTTAGAATATTGTGTTAGTGTGCTGTTGATACAGGAATTGTTACACTTGGTCTATCAACAGCTGGCATATTTGCGGCGAGAACTGGCGCTTTGTGAAAACGTAGAATTGCGTGGGAGTTTATATGTAGAATTGCAAAGTAATCAACAGCTACTGGCGCGTGTATGGCAGTTATTGAGTGAAGTGGAGAGATATTTTTGCATTCCTATATCTTTGGTGTTTTTCTATCATGGATTTACTATAACACAAACTATACTTTGGGGTTATACCAATTTGGAATTTGAGGATTTTAATTTGCGATTATGTACGTTAAGTGTAACTCTAAATACTGCTACAGTCATATATATGTATATTTAAAAATTCCATGCATTTAGGTCGTATTGCCTTCACCATTATGATTATTGCTAGTTTGTTTATACCCTGCTACTTGAGTCAATGCTGCATTGATGAGGTAAGATTGAATTATGTTCTTTATGGTTAATACGGGGTGTGTTCAAAAGTTAAGGTGATCTAAGAAATGTACAGTACAAATGGACCAGTCCGAGTCAAATTTGAGTGTAAGTACCGTGTAGAAGAACCACGACACAAAAAACACGAAAGAGTAGTAGAAAATAAAGAAATTTTGAGAGAGATAGTTTTTGGAGGATAGTATTAGTAATAAAGTAAAGTAAAATATTCAAGCTTTCTTTAAATATTTTTTTTGATACAAAAGATATTGATATATATTTCCTTCTTAAACATAGTATAACCGTTTTGGCACTTTACTACACAAACTGAAAACTGTAGGAATCGACGTAAATCTGAGTATGCGTTTACAGGAGTATTCGTTCCAACTTATGCATCAAAAAATGCTCTTCACTTGCGGTGGTCTATTCGATATAAACTTGAAGAACTTTGGAACGGTAAGCTTATATGTTTAATAAATATTTTTTTATAAAATTGCTGAAGTTTATATACGGTTTTATAATTGATTAGATAATCTTGACGATTACAATTTACGTCGTTATATTGATTCAGTTCAAACTACAATCGGTAAAGGAAAGGAGATCCAGCATAGAAACAAGTTTTGGTTGAATTCCTATTGAACCGTTAAATGTTACTTTTAAATTTAAATATTTTGTGCATGATCGTGCCATATTTTGAGCATATGACGTACCGAATGTTAGTCAAGCACTAAGCAACTTAATTTAGACTACTTGTTTTTTTACATATCTATTTATTTATATCTACGTAAGTTTGTATGGATGTATTTAAAGCAAGTAAGGAAGGGCTAAGTTCGGGTGTAATCGAACATTTTATACTCTTGCAACTTGGAAAGATCAAAGGCGAGGAAATACTCTCAAGTGTCTGCAAAACATTATATTAAACCAGAAAGGAAGTGCTAAGTTCGGGCTTGTAAGGATCAAAGCAGGGAAAAGCACTTTAGGTATGGCAAAACTTTATATTAAAACATGTTGCGGAAGAATTAAACATTAATTTTTTTTCCGAAATCATGAGCGAATTGCAATCAAATTTGGTATTTTATTAAGTTATGTATGTTATAATTCATAGACTCACTTTGTCTTAGTTTGATTGCTATATTTCACTTCGCCTCAGCCGAAATTATAGTAAAATAAGCGTAAAGGGGTTAAGAGTTAAAAATTAAAAACACATGTTGACCAACCTGAACGGTTTAAAGTCAGGTGGAAAGTAGGGAATCATTATATAGGGTATATTGGGGGTAGAGAAAGGTCTGAGCTGATTGCATTAACCTTTGGCATACTCGAGAACATATTTTTAAGCAATTAAAATAAATAACTCACACACTGACCGACATATTCGGCATATTCGACATTTGTTAGAATAACGAAAATTCTTATATGTAGTCAATGGAGTATTTCGGAGACTAATTTCAGATATTTTCGATATCAAACTATATTATATCCAATATTGTACGCTAAAGTACTTTGAAAATATAATATAATATATGGAAGTATATGGAAGATAGGGGTGGTATTGACCAGATTTTATCTATTTTTTCCATTACCTCATACGAATAGAAGAATATACTTTCTGAGTTTCATTAAAATACCTCACATATCATCATCAATATATGCGGTATAAAGTCAACCAGATGTTTGAAAATCTTGATATAAGCTAACATGGGGCTAGGGCAAGTTTTAATCCGATTTTATCCATTTTATGCACAAAGATACTCTGTTATTAGAAAAACACGCTCTGTCAATTTTATTAAAATAATTAGTCCATTGACCGATATATGAGGTATAAAGTAAATTGGAACTTCGAAAATTATTATATTAGGTATATGGGGACTAAAGGAAGTATTAATACGATTCAACCCATTTGAGACATACAAGCATATCATTATCAGGAAATAATTTCTTACGTATTTCAATGATATTCCTTACATACTGAACGAAATTTTCCAAAAAGGGTTCGGCATATGGACTAGAGCCCCATATTCGGTATCTGGGAGCTTGAGCACTTTGACATTTGTGGGTCATAAGATAGCTAATCTTAAAGATACCATTTGTGCAAAGTTTTATCCCGATACATCCATCGGTGCTTTATTTGTATACTAAAAAGTATTATATGAGAAGTAGGCGTGGCTGTTTTCCGATTTCGCCTATTTTCGCACGGTAGCATAGGATAGATAAGGCGACATTGCCTTACCGACTGAAAATTATCCAGTAAGTCCGAAGATATGTGATTTCACCTAAATGTGGGAGGGGCCACACCAATCGTCCAATTTTAACACAGGCTCCTTTAAAGCCTTCTCGGGTGTAGAACTAAATGTCTCTGGCGCATTTAGTTATTGAATTATCGCAGTTTTTGACAAAACCGTTATATGGAGCGTGGGCGGGGTTATAATCCGGTTTCATAAATTTTCACAACGTGGATAGGGATGCCAAAAATATTTGTTCTGAGCAAATTTGGTTATTATTACTTAAATACTTTACGATATATGTTTAATAAACCTATTAGAGGGTGGGGCCATGTCCATTTTTTCAATTTTTTTTTTAAATCGCAGATGCCCCTCCCTAATGCAATTTGTTCTACCATACAACAGTAGTGTAACTTATTGTTGAGCTTAGTTATGGCAATGGTCCGATTACATCCATCTGTATACTTGTATTATCCCTTTTCTATCTCTATTAGTATAAGGTGATACAAACAACCGTCAGGTATACCAAACTATCATATTCTGTAACAACTTAATGCAAGAGTATAAATATTTTGATTGGAGCACGATATGTTAAGAATTGATATTGAATGTAGATAAGTAGTATGTATTTAAGGAAATTATTACATACAAATATAAATGGGTAAGACGAGTTGGTCAGCGCACAATCGTTTCTTGTCGGTGATATAGTCTACTAGTATCGATATCTGGCATGGCGCAATTGGAGCTGGCAATATTCCAAGTTTCGCTGCAACGTTTTCAGCGTGTGATGTTTATAATGGGAATGTTACCGTATTCAAATCACTGTAGCAGCAAATTAGGAATGTCCTGTCGAAAGGGATTTATGTTGAGTTTACATTTTCTGGCAGTGTTTTTTTTTACCGGCTTCTTAATAAAAGATCAAATAAAGTATGTAAATGAGGCAATCTACAATGTCAATGACGTCTTTTCATCGGTTATACATCGTCTGGGCTTTAGTACTTTAATACTGGTTCAACTTATAATACATTTGGAGAGCACTTACAAATCAAATATGTACACGGAAATATTTAATAAATTTGAACAAATGCGGAAGTTGTTATTGCGAAAATTTGGAATACAATTTGATTTGTCAAACCTAAAATTTTGTGTCTACATTTTGCAGATTCATTTTACACTCTACTGTGGTTTGTTATTAATGCTTGTGATTACAACGGCTATACAACCAACACCAGTTGTCCGATTACTAATAAGCTTGCACGCAGAGCTAGTGTTAAAGGTCAAATTATTCGAGTTCATGTGTTTCATTATTGTATTCATGGTAATGAGCTGTCATGTATGTAGAGCAGCTAAGCAGCATTGTAGACAGTTGGAGGCGACACGATTTGAAAGTAGCTTTCAGCGACGTGAATGTTTATTAGGATTTATAGCACTGCAAGACTTGCATGCTTTGCTTTGGGAGAATATGCAGCAGATAACGGACTACTTTGAGTGGAGTTTACCAGGATTATTTGCAAAGCAACTTATTGATTTAACGCTTTTGGCATATTGGGCAGTTTTAAATCTAGAAACCGGCACGTCAATAGTCATTAGATATTGTAAGTAACTACTATATTAACAAAGCTATGATATTTTCTTGTAATTTATCACCCATAGATTTAATAATTTTTTGGTTTATGAAAATATCCACTTTAACGATTGCATGTTTCCTTTGTTCCATCTGCGAACGAAAGGTGAGTCTTCTTACAATTACACGGGATCATAAACTTATTTTCATACTCGCTTAAGGATAGAGAATTACGTTCGTATTTTAGAACTTGTTTAAAAGATCGTCAGAATCTGCTGCTAATGCGGTGCATGCATCGAATTTCAATGCAACTATGGCAGGAAACAGTTACATTTGTGGCCGGAAGTTTTGTAACGATTAACATAGAAACACTCGGCAAAGTAAGTAACTTTATTGTTGAGAGAAAATTGGTTTGCATTTCATGTATATGTTCTTAATTAACAAAATTATGTTTCAGTATTTTTTCACCGTCAGTATGTACATTGTAATTTTGATACAATTTCGTATGTCAGTATAAATAAAACTAAATAAGAAAACTTACACAAATAAGGTATATAATGTGTATGTATGTATTCTGAAAAACTTAGATTTCTTCAATTAAGCCACAAATGTTTTTTCAACTTGATTGAGGTATTTATTTTATGTGTAATTTCTATAATTGAAGGCGTTTCACACTATACTTTGCAAACAACTTAAAAATGGCGGTTAACAAAAGCTTTAATATGGAGTATCCTGCTAAGTTAACAACCTCAGATTGCCGTACGTGAATTATTGTTATATAGGTATGTAATACTTATTTAGTCTGATTTAGAATCGCCTAAAAATTACACTTCAAATTTAATTAAATAGTGAAGTTAAAATAGTTGAATTAAAAAATAACAAACAGAGACTAATACGACCCATTATACTTCTACAAAAAGAAATAAGCAGTATTTTTAAAACAAAATCAAATGTGAAGCTGGCATCGCTATATGCTAAAACAGATGAATATAGCAATCAGCTGTTCCTTTCATTTAACCATTCTTACCATGTATATTTTTTTATTACTTTTAACCCACTGTATTCAATCCTCTACTGTACTGTTAAAAGTATATAAATTCTTTACTGGCTCCAAAACTTTTAAGCTATATTATGGCTGAAATTCAATACTTCTGCTTAACGTATACCATTCTTACAATACAATTAGCTTTTTCGTAAAAATTTGATGATGTTTGGTTAGCGGCAACTCTGCGTGTTATTATGATTACAAAAATAAATTCACTTGTTATAAGTCATCCGTATCAGTTTAGATCGTTTCGAAATTGATTAACTTGCATAGCATTTTTATACTCATGTGTAATAAGCGAGTAAATATTAATAGCCATATTGGTGTTTAGCATTGCATTATATTGTATTACAAAAATTTTATCCCATCAGGACTAACGAACGTACGAACTTGTTGCACGCACATCTACACTTGTTTGTACATAAATATTTATGTGTAATACCAGATAATACAAAAACTTTTGTTAATCAATAACACAGCAATATAAGTAAAATGAACTTTTATAAATTTGATTATAACCGCACCGAATGGGAGCTACCTGATATTTATCAAAAAGCGCAACCAGTTGGGTCCGGCGCTTATGGGCAGGTGATTAAAGCTCTGGTTGAGGGTACCGATATGTATGTAGCTATTAAAAGACTGACACGTCCTTTTCAATCGGCTGTGCACGCTAAGCGCACTTATCGCGAGATACGTTTATTAAAGCATATGGATCACGATAATGTCATTGGGTTGCTGGACGTATTCCATCCTCATGATAAAGATGTAACACTCAAATCATTTGAACAAGTGTACTTAGTAACACAATTTTTGGATGCCGATTTAAATAATATAATCCGAACTCAACGACTTTCAGACGATCATGTGCAATTTTTGGTTTATCAAATACTTCGAGGTCTCAAGTACATTCATAGTGCAGGCATAATTCATCGCGATCTAAAGCCATCCAACATTGCCGTTAATGAAGATTGTGAATTACGTATTTTAGATTTTGGTCTAGCTCGTCCTACAGAAAGCGAGATGACTGGTTATGTAGCTACAAGATGGTATCGTGCTCCGGAAATTATGCTAAATTGGATGCATTACAACCAAACAGTTGATATCTGGTCCGTTGGTTGTATAATGGCAGAATTACTTACAGGACGCACTTTATTTCCAGGTACTGATCATATAAATCAGTTAAATCTTATCATGGAAATATTAGGTACACCACCAGATGACTTCATGAAAAAGATATCATCAGAAAGTGCGCGTAATTACATAAAATCGCTGCCACCGATGAACCGACGTAACTTTAAAGAAGTATTTAAAGGTGCTAATCCACTAGCTATTGATTTGCTAGAGAAAATGTTAGAACTCGATTCAGAAAAACGTATTACAGCAGAGCAAGCATTAGCTCATCCCTATATGGGAAATTATTCGGAACCTAGTGACGAGCAAACTTCGCCACTATATGATCAAAGCTTTGAAGACATGGATTTGCCAGTAGAGAAATGGAAAGAGTTAGTCTTCACTGAGGTGAAAAACTTTAAACGGCCTCCATCGTTCACTAAAATCTTAGAGGAAATCAAGAAAGCATAGAAGCGAAGATGTACATTTTTTGTATATGTGCTCAAATGGTATTAAATGCTAAACATAACGTTGAAAAAAAAAACAATTTGAATAAAGATTATTTTATTTTAGCCATAGAATGTTTGTATGTTAATTGTTATGTAAAAGTTTATTTTTATAGTTATTTGTTCATGTTTCTATGTATTTATGAAAAAGTGCCTTATTAAAATACTGAAAGCGGGAAATATATGTATTATTTTATATAGTACAAAAATATAAATATTGTTTTATACTATTGGTTTATACATTTATTTAAGTTTATGTTTTACCTATGTATATATACTGTTCCATTTGTACTGTCAATTGATCAATATGTATTATTATATCTTTATTACGAATAAAAATTGATAAAAGTTTTATGCGATAATGCTATATGTCGAACTTTATTCCCTCTCTTGAACGTGAAATGATACCCTTATAGTAAAACAAATGAGCGTATAAACTTGTGCATACACACAATTCTTAAAGTACAAATTTTTTACTCAAAGTACATATATTGTTATACATATAACGCATACATATGTATGAACATGTAAATTTATTACATGAAACATTATTTTTTGGTTGTGGTTACAAGAATTGGAATTCTAAAACAAATAACTCCAGCATTGTAAGCACTTTCTGCTACCCACATCATTGTGCCGCGTATCTGTGAATAACAATCCAGTAATAAACAAAGAAATAATTAAAAATAAATTTGTAATATTTTGTAAAAGTATTCTGAAATAGATAAATATTCCAATTCCTACATTGGGCAGAGTACTGCTGACAAAAACCTCAGCAAGGTAGGATTTTCCATCGCTTTCATGAAGCAAACAGCTTTTTTTATCTTCACAAGGATCTGGAGTAATGACGGCGTTTGTTTTAATAGCATTAAAGATCCAACGGACGTTATGCCTTAAATACAAAGTATTTTCCCCTAAAACAAAACAACATAATAAAAAATTAATAATTAAATCATAGCGTTCACACATGTCTAATGTATACGTATATGTGTATGTACATATACATACATATTAAATAATTATTTTTATACTTTCTATATGCGTTTCCATGAGTTTATGAATAGTAAAAACTAAAAAAGTTTTAATCAAAAAGAGACTTCGTTTTGGGCGAAAGATTAAAAAATCACGTTTCCAATAAGGTGTCATTCACTGTTCAGTCTATTACTAAAACTCATTATTGAACTGGAGTACATTTACTCACGCCGCCAAATTTATGATTAATTTGTAAATATATATATGTTTGTACGTATGCATTTATATTTATATTCAAGTGTATGTATGCATGTTTGTAGGTATTTAATTGTTTGCGCTCTAAAAAATGTACCTGGTATTGCATTTTGAAATTCACTCTACTATAAAATAAACATAAGATTGGTAATCCTGGATATTGAACTATAATCCAGTTATGTTTTATTTATACACAAATGGTTCATATTATTATTAAGTAAAATAAGCTAATTTTAAATTATAGTAATATCTATAATTTTTTTATATTAAATTGAACTAAGATTAACAATTTAACTAAAAGCTCTTAGTTTATGCCAAAGCCAATATGTGATATACTAGCATGTCAAGCTGCTATTATTTCATAAGGGTACTAGGAAAAATTAAGTGGTATATATCTTTATAATGTTTAAAGTAAGCTTATATATATATGTATGTGTACATACATATACATGTATATGTATATATATATATATACATATATGTACCTACAAGTATATATGTAATTGCACTCACCGTTGTCATCAAAAATAACTTTTACCGTCATAGTTGAACCACGAGCCATTTGGCAAGGTATAGCAGAACAGCTTGAAACACTAACATACAGTATATCATATCGAGATCCTAAAAGAAAATAGATATTTCAGATGTTAAGTGGTTTAACAGGCAATACAAATTTTAAATTATTTTATATCAGTTTGCTTATGATAATATTTTAAACTCGCGAAAATTAACCAATTTGAACAAAAATTTTAACAATTTCGTCTCAAATTTCGAACATATACTATGTATATCATAAACAAGTACATATGCATTTATGCGGTATAATATAACCTATCGCACCTTTGAATTTGTGCATAATTTTGGAACATTCATATGCAAATAAAACATAAGCTCTATTATAAATTAGCAAAACGAATCTTCTGAAGTTTTCGTATTTATTTATTTAAACGCCAATCGGCAATATATGAGATAATGAAGAGAATAAATATTTTGGATTAACTTTGGTTCACTGCCTTTTTTTACTCAAAATTAAAAAACTTTTTAGATAAAAGTTTCATATTTTGCAGATATTAAAAAAAAACCGTATCTTCATCGAAAAAATGTCTTTATTTCCGAATATGTGGTTATAATGCAAAATAATGCAATAGTTTCAAACAAAAATTAACTGTTTTTATGATTTTGTATTATACAGTTTTAGAAGGGCTTCTATAGTCAGTTCGGAAAGTTTTTCCTGTTGGGTGTTTAGCTTGGCCAAGAGGTTTGTTTTATCATTATATTTATTCGTATCTTGTATCCATGTGAATGCATGTACATCTAAACACTGATCATAAAGCGGCATACCGACAGGCAATAAAATATTACTAAAAATCTGAATTGCTAGCAATATTGCGAATGGACACTGCACATTGAAAATGTTTAGCAATTGATAAATACATTTCATGCCAACAATATTCAAAACATATTTTTGTCCTCCTTATACAATTTTTTCAACGATTCAACTCATTCATACGTGCGCTATATCAGCTCGACAAGACCTACCCGACGCCATTTCGAGAATGAATATTTCATGAGACGGCAAATGTTCACACAAGAACATTGCCAACCTCAATGGCAATGTATTGGACAGATGGTTAGCAATGTACATTGCTTGTGGAGATGCGGCGTAACAATTAATACTCGTATTTAAGGCTATTAAATTCAAGTAGCTAGCAAGGAATAATACTGCTATACTTCTTTATTGGTTTTCTTGATAAGCACATGTAGTAGGAGTAGCTTTTAGATGAGGAAATACGTCAATAGTAAATAATAAAGGAAATATATGTATATTCCATATACAGTATTCCGAAATAACGAATATTAGTTTTAACGAAAACTGCTTATAACGAGCAAGCAAATTTTGTTGAGTACCTCAAATAACGAACAAAGGAGATCTTTTAGTATTCAGTTTAACGAACAACATGAAAAAGACATACATACTTGTACATATGTAGAAAGAGTTAAAAAAATAATAGTAGTGAATACAGAATATAAAACAGGACATGAAAAAAAATGCAAAATATGCAATTACTATATTAATGTTTCTTAATGATTTGTAGTTCTTTCTTTTTCAATTCCGTGTAAGAGCAAAGTAACTTTGTTGAAGAGTATGATCTTCCCATTTCGTCATAAGATAAGGCAAGATGAGGATACTTTGGTATTTTTAATTAACCTTTTCATCTCTTACTCAGTGGTTTGAATGGATGGGTTGAACAAAATTTCATACAGGAAAATTTCGGACAGTGTATTATCGAGTGGGCAATTATAAAGATATGGAATTCATAAAATTTATTAACTGAACTTCGGGAAGAAGCCATCAAATGTAGTATTCGTATTCCAACGAAGTAAACGACGATTAATCAATTTTTTTAATTAGCAATAGAAACTTATATTACCAATATATGTACAAATATTTTGATCTCATGAATTTACTTTTTAAGAACACTACTTCCTTTGAGGTAACAACCAATTTCCCCAACAGCCGGTCCTTCGGCCAAGGGCTGTTATTTCGGTGATCTAACCCTGTTTGGCATCCTCAGAGCAACACCTACCAGCAGGATTGCTCCGTATCCTCCTCACCCGTGCTGGCATCGAAACAAACCGGGGCCCGAGGAAATCTTCTGCTGCATTTGCGTCGTATGTTGCCCCGTACTGTAGGAGTCTGCCCCCGCAATTCCATATAGTAGCGTTACCAAATACCATTACAGTGTGACTACCGCCCCAGCGGATATTACAGCTGCAATAACCACCATCTACACCCTCACCCCCAGGATCCCCACTACACATCCGAGACAAACCCGTCCAGAGCAAGATCGAGGAGATAGTTGCATTTATGAGAAGCGAACGAGTATCGATAGCTGCGGTCCAAGAAACCAAATTAAACAGTCGGTCAGATCTTCTGAGTTGTGCAGGTTTCAACGTTATACGTAAATATCAACAGCGAGATAATAATGGAGGCCCAGCCTTCATACTACACAACACCATGCAATATCGTCTAATCGATGGTGACATCGTCCGCAGGGATACTACCCTAGAATGTCAGGATGTAGCTATCCAGTTACGCGTTGACAGGGAGATTCAGAGTTTCATCAAAAAGGCAAAATCGTCCAAATCCATTGGCCCTGATGGAATCGATGGCATGTGCTTAAAAGTAAAGTTCTCTATCTATCTATCTCTCCGACCTTTCTCGCTTCTATTCTGCAACCTCCACTTAATTCACAGCGACCATATTCACAAACTGGATGCAGGAGTACAAACTGGATCTAAACATTACAGTCGATGACGTTAAAATTCCGACGGTTAATAACAACGAGCACCTCTCCAAGCAGTTTCTGCTAGGATATTGTCGCAGAAACAACCCCTGCAGTCGTCTGCTTGAAGAGGAACCGCCTCCCAGGAACATCAAGAGGTCCTTCTTTGATTACGTCGACGACATTGGACAGTACACCGACCAGACTTCGGGCGCAACTAACTTCAGACATGCACTGACCGTAATTTACAGCGGATTCATCAACACCTTCACCGACTCCTTCTCGGTGAATGCCGCACTTGGAGTCAAACCACCACCCATCGCAGACAAAGAGCTCGAGTTGCCACCAAAGTCTGGAGTGACCTTTCCGCAACTTCGTTCTGGATACTGTAGCAGCTTAAACTCCTACTTATCCAGAATCGACCCCGACATACCAAATATATATCCAGCATGCAATGAGTCTCCGCATGACACTAACCACCTCTTTACATGCCCAACGAATCCTACTCATCTAACACCTTTCTCCCTATGGTCCGACCCCGTCGAAACAGCTCGTTTCCTGGGCTTCCCGTTAGATGACCGGGACGACAACCAAACTGAAATTAACACCAAAAATAACAGGTAACGTGCATAAACGCTTTGAACTGTTAAGCAAATAATTCAACAAACAATGTTTTGATCTGCAGTTTTCGTTTACATTTCTTATTTATATTGAAAAACATACCTCGCTAATTAAGTACTCGAATTAACGAAAAATTCGATATAACGAACTGTCCTGGCTATCTATAATTTTCTCCATCAATGTATGTATGTATGTATATGTTCTATATTTTAACTTTTAAAATAAAATCTACAAACAATAGCAAAGATTTTTAAATAGCTGATATCAATGACCAAATTTTTGTCTTGAGTGTGAGACATTATCTTTTCGGTAAGTTTTATAATAAAGCCAAAAATAATTTAATTATTAATAACAGATAAAAGTACAGTGGTCGCCAAATAATGAAAACCTTAATATTTTGCATACAAATTAGTTTATAAATGTTATGTGTTATTGAAATTTAATAGCATAGCCAAATGCTCATTTAAAAAATTCTTATTTATTACATCTCACTTAATAGTTCATAATTATTTTTAATCTTCTATTTAGGAATTTTCGTCAAGATTACTTGTCAAATCAAAGTTTTCCATAAAAGAATTTGTTTGGATCGGTCAGTTTGTATGACAGCTATATGCTAAAGTGGTCCGATATCGGCGACTCCGACAAACGAGTAGCTTCTTAGGGAGAAAATGTTGTGCGCAAAATGGTCGATATCTCAAAAACTTAGTTCGCGTATACACAAACGGTGAGATAGACGGACATGGCTAAATCGGCTCAGCTCGTTACGCTAATCATACTTGTATATAGATAAATACTTTGTAGGTTCAGCGACGTCTCCTTTTTGAAATATGTATAATCGTTTGTAATACTCAAAAGGAGACGTAATGCGTAAAAAATATATTAATATACTCTGTTCAGGGTATAAAAAGGGGACAATATCTATGTATGCATGTGTGTAATCGAAGCGTAATAGCAATGTCGTCTCAACTAAAGAAATTCCCACAGCTTTGTATCATAAATCACATGTATACCACTTGAAAATTTCCGTAATTCTTCACTTCGTACGTATATACAATATAGGCATATGTATGTACTCGTATGTGCATACGTATTAATTGAAAATGTTTGTGAAATTACTGTTAGTCTTCAGATAGATCAATTTTGGTGGCAATTAAACGATAATGCTTCATCATTGCCGATATTACAACTGATTATGCGAACACAAAATATAGGTTTGAATTTTAAGCGTGAACATTTTTCAAATTGAGTGATTCATGAAGAGGATTATTAGAACGCATTGTAAATTTTGGAATATGGACATCGTTTAATTCGGAGGTGATATTTTGTACAGAATTTTAATAGTAGTCAACCTTTGGAATTTGGATAAATTTCATTTATTACACTCGTTCTAAATTTTGATGTTTGATGTATGGTTTCGTTTGTCTTAGCGCTTTCATATTTATACCCTGAATAGGGATATTCCCTGATACCATAAGTTGGCCACGAAGCTTGTAACACCCAAAAGGAAACGAAGAAGACTCTATAAAGTATATATATAAATGATTAGCGTGACTAGCTGAGTCGATTTAGCCCTGTCCGTCTGTCTGTCCCTCTGTCTGTCTGCACATACGCAAACTAGTCCCTCAGTTTTCAGATATTCAGGGGTGTTGTGGAATTCAAGACAGATTTGCGTAGTTGTCAGAATTGCAAACCAATTCTGATTTTGAATGGTGTCACAGAATCTGATTGGATTTGCGTCTTTTCGAACATATGCAAAACCAATATTCGAATCAGCTGTCTACTAATGTGACAAAATTTTCAAATGAATAAATTAGGAAGCGTGTTATACATTTGAAATGCTGAATGAAGCCTACTAAAGTTTACAATGAGTTCCGCTATTTTAGCTTTTATTTTATTTAAAGAAAAAAAGCAACGAAAAAAATAAAAGGAATATATTAAAAGAGCACAGTAATCCACTTGATGCACCACGAGAGTCGCATGTGAAATTTGGCTTGCATTTACTTGTATGTTTGTATACATGCTTACTTTACAGATTTATATCACATTATCGACTGAATAAAGACGCATTTGGGTGTTAAATTATGTTACGTTTTGTAAATTCTCTTAAAATATCTTGATTTTTTCCATAAACTCGATAATTATGACACTTTTTGTTTTATTCTTATGTTTTCCCCTATAGAAATAACGATAAATTAAATCGTAACAATAATATAAATTATTTTCTTAACTTACATTTCAAATCTGTCAGCAAAAATCCTCTTGCTTTGTTTCTGATAAGAAAACCGATAAAATTGGTTTTCGTGATACCCAAAACCGATACAAATTCTGTTTCGAACGTCAAACCAATAATATCTGAATTCATGACACCTACTACATTTTTTTTATCGGTTTCAATTCTGATTCCGACAACTGTCAGATTCTACAACATCCCTGATTGTCTTGAAATTTTGCACACGTTGTTTTCTCACCAAGAAGTTGCTCATATCGGACTACTAGCAGCTATAGCTGCCATACAAACTAATCAATCAGAATCAAGTCTTTTTATGAAAACCTTTTTTATTTGGCAAGATGTTTTCACGAGATTCAGCATGTCTTATTCTTCAAGGCTATGATAAATTCTTCAAACAAAATGTTCAGATCAGACAACTTTAGCATATAGCTGCCATACAAACTAAAATATCGCGTCTGTACGAACTATGTTATTAATCAAAATACTAAAAATTAATTTTAACCGAAAATTTATACATAAATAGTAATACTTGTATGTTTATAAATCTAGAGATGCTTATTAATGCATTGTCAAAAACCGTTATCTACACTTACCGCAGTCTTCAAAGGGTAGAGTACGCAAGCTTAATAATTTTCTAAAAACTTCTTTTGGTGCATTTTGAACATCTATTGATCTTCTATCTGTAAATGTCAGCCAAAATATATTACTTAGATATATTAATTTTAAGTAAAAGAATTGGACGCGCATTTCCAATTGCTTGTCGGTACCGATGTCAATAATTTGTTGTCGATGAAGAAGCGTCTAGTTTTTACTTAACAAAACGTATAATGCTTGTATTGCGTTCAATATATAACTGGCGAAAGTAATCTGATTAGGCAGAGGGTAGCACCTGATACGGTAGCGGAATTTCTAACGACTTCATTTGATTAAACGTTTCGTAATTTTTTCTTCCTTTCTAACACTAATGCAATTAATTCATTCTTCTTTTGTTAATGGAGCGACGTAAATGTAAATAAAAATAATTTTAAATAACTTACCAATTCCAACGTTGATTATATGATATTAATTTTTATTTTAATATATTTTGTTATTGCTATAAATATTTTGATTACAGTGCTTGTAGATAATACATAATAGTACATACTGACGACTCATTCCATAATGCCCTTAAGATAATTGGTGTTCTTAATAAATCTAAAATCGGCGCGTAGCTGAATAAATTGTCGCACAACTGATTTGTCCAAGTAGTTCTGAAATGAAGAATACATGATATGTAATAGGTGCAACGTATTCACTTGTTGTTAGATTAAAAGTAAAGATAATTTCGTTATTCGAAGGGATTATGGGTTATCAGAGCCGAGTGCGTAGAAAAGCTACTTAAGTCAACTATGTGTCATGTACTGATTTGTTGATTTAATCAAAATATTTCTTAGGATATTTAAAAAAAAGAATTCGTTTTACCTATAATCGATTAATTGGAATTGCATCATAAATATAAAATGTTATGAATCACGTATGAATAATTAAACTCCCTTGATATGAAATTTGAAAAATAAATCTATTTTATAGTAAAGCATACTTTTTCAAGCAAAATCTTTTCTTCTAAGAACAGTAAAAGTATATATATATTTTTAATACCATTTTATTAGCTTGAGTTGTATGTATGTAATGGAATCTTAGAGCTCAATTTTCACCGGTTTCCAGAAGTCTGAACAACTTGAAACTTTGCAGGCGTGTTAAGGACCGATGACAATGCAATAATTTGATAACAGTTTCCCATTACTTTAAAGTTGGGCGTAACCCCGCCCCTAAATGGTTTAATGTATATATCTTCCAAACCGCTAAGGCTAACTCAACCAAATTTGCTGAGAGAAAGTCCTTTTGGCCCTTTTTCATACGCTGTGGGCAAAATCAGATAACAACCACGCCCACTCCCCATATAACAATTATGTTAAAATATACTAAAAGTGCGATAACTGACGAAATAAATGCGTCATAAGCATTAATTTTCAGAAATAAGATGGTAGGGAAGAGCTTTATAGGAGGAGATTTAAAAATTCTTTTAAAAGGTGTTTTTTTAGTTTTTTTTTTAAACTATACTTTTTGTATCTCTCACCCACACCTTACAGCATTTTTTATTTTTTATAGTTAAATTTAAAATAAATTTAAAACTTTTGTCATGATTTACTCACCAAAGTCTCTCCAGTGCAAACTTCTTGCAAATTTTCCGGTTTCACAAGTAAAAGGTTGCATAATGCGTGTAGGATATCGAATAGTTGTGTAACTAACGGATTTTCCAATTCTCGTATACATTTGCGATATTCATTTACATCACAGATGGCGCACATGGCACCCGCTGTATTATACTGCATAGTTTGTAAATGATCAAAAATTACACGATGAAAACGCACACCAACTTCATGTAAAATATTTTGCAAGTTATCACCATCAACACAGCGTTTAGCCTGCTTTAATGCGGGTTGCAAATTTTGAACAACTTGCAGACAAGCCTAAAAAACATAATACAAATAAAGTAAATATGTATGTATAAGTTCACAGAGTAACGGAGTTATAAATTTGAAACAGATCTCAGCAATAAATAAACTAACTTCCTTTGACACTGAAATATGTATACTATTTAATAATGTACTTTTATAGTTGACTCACCGCTGATGAGATTGTGTCCATATCCGTTTCAGGCTTGTAATCAGTTTTCTTTTGCTCGCTTTGTAAATATAATTTAACCCAACTGATTATAGCATTGATAGATCGTTCGAGCCCCTGATCTAACGTTTTTTCAATTTGCTCCATTAACAAACGCCTTTTGAACATAAAATCCGAATATTTTGGAGTGTTACTGCAATATACATAAACATATTTAATCCCTTGCAATTGAGTTCAAATTTAAATGTGCTTACATAATACAAGGGATAACTGAGCTATTCGAGAGTTTTTCCAACAAATGCACAATTATATTGGTTTTTTGTACCACATCGAAAAAATAAAGTTGTGGAAAGGTTTTACCTTCTACTATCGGTATCGCCTGCAGACCCAGTTCGAGTGCATACACTACATGTTCATGCATAAGGAAACGTAATAAAATATCATTTAATTTAATTACGTTGGTGGGTAATTCGATCGCGGTGGAAAGTAGACGACAACGTTTAAGTGCAGCCTTGGCCTCCTGCAGCATATTTATAGCTAACTCCTCGCAAAGGAATGTCTCGCCGCCATAGTCTTCAATCTGAGCTATATTGATATTAGCTCGTGTACCTATTAATGCCTGCATATCACGCCTTAGTTCCTGAAAACGTTCTGTTGGCTTTTTTTGATGCTTTTTATTGACATAAAATCGTTCCAATTCAGTTGAGCATTTTGTTGTTAGGCACCTTGACTCCACTTCCACATAATTTGCCAAATGTTTTGTGAAAATTTGTTGGGTCAACTTTTGCAGTAGATCGTCGTCTATCGTAGACATATAAATTTGTAGATCTAAAGATAACTTCAACGTTCTGCCATATGAAAATAACCATTAATTTACATTAGGAATTATTAAAAATTATACGTGTCATTTAAACATTAAAAACAAGTAAGGTAAGTAACAACTTACAAGGATCAAAACTTTATATTAAGAAATGTATTGAAAAGTTCAACTTCATCGTTTGACGAAATGGTGAATGGATTACAATCAAATTTGGTATCATATTAACTTATTTTGAAAGTCATAGACTCACTTAGTATTATTACAATATTTTACTTCCCGTCAGCGAACATTATACTAAAGTAATTGGGGGTATAGAAATGTAAGTGCTGATTGCATTAATTTTGGCATTGCTCATGTATACTTAAGAACCGGTATATGGGGGCTTGAATATTTATGGTCCAATTTTGACAATTTTACACTTGAGATGGCACACCTCAAAGGAAATATTCGTGCAAATTTTTATCCCGATATATGAATTTGTGCTTGATTTGTATATTGGAAAGTGAAAAAATCAGATGGAATTTCTATTTGTATTCTATGGGAAGTAGGCGTGGTTTCTGTCCGATTCCGCCCATTGTAGCACCTCTAAATGGAAATGTTAAAATAATTATGTACCAAATTGAAATTGGTGCAGTAGGTTCGAAGATATGAGACTTCATCCAAATGTGGCCGGTGCCACACTTTGAAAAAATTTTTAAACCACATATGCCACTCATTATTTCGATTCGTAGTACCAAATTACTGTTTTGTATCTTAATTTGCGGAAATTTATAGGTTTTCGACTAATGGCGTTTTCACTTTTTTGCCAGAAACCCGCGTACTAAATTTCGTTAAGATATCTCAATTACTTTTACTCAAGTTATCGCTTGCACAGACGGACAGACGTACAGATAGTCAGTAATTTATATATACATAACTCTATATCTACCTCGGTTAGTTTTAGGTGATACAAACAACCGTTAGATGAACAAAGCTATTATACTCTGAGGCAACATGTTGCAAGAGTATAAAAACAAGAAACAGCGTTAACTACGGTTGAACCAAAGCTATAATATCAATACAAAAACTGTCATACAATCTTGTTTTTGATCGAGCAATTTGTATAGCAGCTACATATATGCTACAGTGGTTCGATCTGAATCATTTTTTCAGAGATTGTATCGTTAATATAATATAATAATGAATAATAATTTAAGCCAATTTTTTTGGACTCAGCTCGTCATACTGATCATTTATACACATTTATAGGGCCTCCGACGTTTCTTTCTGGATGTTACAAACTTAATAAATTCTGTTCATTGTATAAATACTTATGGTATATATACATATATAAGAATCATAAATATGACTCTACTATTTAAATAAAAATCCTTACCTTGAATACAATTCATAAAGTGTTCGTAAATATTTCTCCTCGTCCTTTTTATCATCCAATTTCGTTAGAGCATACTGATTTAGCTTTAACTGGTAAATGTTGAGAATAAACTTCGACATAACTTGCGCTGGATTGGCAAATACTTTTTTTATTATCTCATAATGATGTTTACACATAGGCGTTATTCCTATAAATATATCTTTTCCGCCATAGGGAGTCTGTAGCGAATATAAATTGTTTAAAACTCTTCATAAATATCTACAAATGAGAATCAATCAACTTACCATTTGGCTTTGTTCTATATAGGCATCGATGCATTGTGTATAGCCCTTGAATTGAGATAAAATCTGCGCCAGCTTTTTCATTTTTTCAATATCTTCACACTTTTGTGCTGTTGCAAATTCTTCAATAAGACGGCGCTCTACGTCATCATACATTTTTTCGATTTTCCTTTTCGAATCGGCAAACTTTTCTATTGGCAAATCTTGTGATATTGCGTAAAGTTTTTGGATCACATCTGCAGCTTCGAAAAGCCGTGCAGGATCGGAGAATATATCGTTGAGTATGGGCCCAGGAATGAGAAACTCAGACATATGGTTCAAAAGTTTTTGAGCCTCTACAGTGCGACTACGAGGCGTATTCACATTTTCTAGTTGTTCACCAAGGTGTATGATTTTACCTGCTACAGAATTGATTTTCTCGTCTAATTGACCAAACCAGTCTATTGCGACTTGATGACGTTCCTGCAGTTTACATATTTGTTTTGTGTGTGTTAATTGTTCTTGCCGAAGTGACTCTTCTAGCCGTTCGCATTTCACCTGTTGTTTTTCTTGTAAAATTTTCATATCTTTTATAGTTTGTATAAAAGTTTCATGAAGTGCTACAGGATTGAAATCATCCGCACTTTTGCCACTGATGCCAACTTCATTATTAATTCGCCAAGTGAGTCGTTCAATAAATTCCGACACTTCAAATGGCTCCTAATAAATATAAACATTATACAGAGTGGAAATTTTAAAATTATAACAGTTAATTTACCTGCTCAAACTCATCCATATATTGTGCTAACATTCTGGTGTGCTTATGTCGTTTACAAAGCACTAATAATAGTATTTAAATAATCAACAACAGTGTTTGATTTTTTTTACGCCCTTTTCGTCTTACGTTGTGACGCCAGGCAGCGTAAATATTTGTAATCAGCTGATTAATGTTACCATACTATAAAAATGTAGTTGAGAATTGTTATATTTTTCGGGATTAGAATTAAGTTCCATAGTAACCATTTTTATGTATCGAATTAAAAAAAAAAAATTAGAAAATAATTAATCTGATAATGTCAGTTAATTCGTACTCATCACCCAAAAATATTTCATTATCTAATTTCTGACCAATAAATAATATTCATATTATCATACAGGGTATAAAATTCAATTCCATATTGAAATATGCTTTAAGAATTCCTAATACTTACCGCACATGCATGATTTTTGTAAATAGGTTTTGCTATTTATAATAAAAATATAAATAAAAGAGGATATTGCTTAGATTTGAACCGCCGTAATACTGCGATTATAATTTAATATTCTCTTTACTAATTTTTTATCTTTGCTATTGTTGCAAATGTACATGTGGATGAATATGACTTCTTTTTCCACTCAATGATTCGTAGTTTTGTGCCTGAGCTGAGGCGGTCGATGACACTGCTGCTGCCGCTGCAGTACTTGTACTAGCTATAATATTGATGGCACTAGCTACAGCGGTCGACGAGGCCGTCATTGCAGAACTAGCCAAATCTGGTGCTGGTAAACATTTCCCTTCAATAATGTTCGCACTACCCCTGACAGCACCAGCGGAAATTCCATTTCCACCACCGCTTACCTCAATTGTTGGTGTTTCAACTAATTGATGTAAATTTCGCAGCTCCGTTGAACGTAAGCTTGCCGACAGACTTTCACTCGATGCTAATGAGGTGGATAAAGGTGAGTTTCGATCCATCGACGAAGCTATATCTGTTACAAAAGAGTAAGTTAAAGGTGTTTTTATAAGTAAAATTGAATTAATATACTTACCGGTTTTATCAGTGTCTGGAGAGCAAGTAGTTAGGAATACTCCACCCTGTGGTTTGTACACCGACATCATAATCTTTTCTTCCATTTGCATTATAATGATTTTCTGTACATCGTACTTCTTGCTGAGCGACTAGAATTCGAATTATAATAGATAATTATCGAGAAATTTTAGTATTATAAATTAATATATTCGTATGTATAAGGTTATATAAATTTCTAACAAGAAAAAACGTTAATTTCGGCTGTTCCCACGACAATAGGATTTACGTAACCGGAACGGACTCAGGATTTTATTCGCTACAACAACAACAAAAACCTTGTACAGATGCATTACTTATAGCATAAAAGGGCATAAAAAGGTATTTATATTGATTTTGACCGAAACAATATGTTCGAAAATTTTAGCGTTGTCTTGGACAAGAATCCATGCCAAACTTCTTCGTGAAGATATCTTGCCAAATAAAAAAGTTTTTATACAATGGCTGCATTTTGATTCATTGCTGCATCATGGTACCATTGTCTTAGATAATAATTCATGCCAAATTTCGTGAAGATATCTGAACAATTAAAAAAGTTTTCTATACAATGACTGGATTTTTATCGATTAGTTTGTTTGGCTGCTATATGCTATAATAGTCCAATATGGACAATTTCTTAGGCGTATGCCAAATTTCAGGTCGATATCCTTAAAACTGAGGGATCAGTTCAAGTATATATATAAATAGATGGACATGGCTATACCGACTTCGCTCATCATGGTGATCATTTATATATATATTTTTTTAAGGCTCTACGACGTTTCCTTCTGGGTGACTCAAACTATGTGGCAAACTTAATATACCCTGTTCATTAACATATTTGTCTAATTCGGTATGTTATGAAACGGCGCGGAAACATTAAAAATAAATATTTTATAAAAATTTCATAAAAACCTTAAACATTTCATCGTATTCGTCCTTTACTGTTTTTAACAATCGCTTTTGATCTGTGATAACTTTATCGCTGCTCTGAAGCTGCGCTTGTAGCTCGTTAATTTTATGTTTAGCACTATCCAATTGAGAAGTTTTTTCTTCTAAAATGTGACGCAAATCTATAGTAAAGTCAAAAATTATTTATTATTAATTTACGATATGTAGTTTTAGGTAGAAAAATTGGTTTACCTTTCAATTCTTTATTGTAGTTCGTTTGAAGCATATGGAATTCTTCGTCGCGTGCTTTGAAATTATCTATTTCTGAGAATTTATCGCGGCACTTTATTTGCACCTCACTCATAACTATAAATTCTGACTCTAGTCGCGCCAATTCCTGCTTACATTGAACACCCATTTCAGCTTGCTGTTGTGCGAGTTGTAACTCTGAAGTTAGATTGAATATATGACCACGCAAAGATTCCAGTTCGTACGTGTCACCTTTTCTGTTTGCCAGCTCTTCTTTCAGACGTGCTAGTAAATTTTCATTGGTCTGTCGAAGGCACTCGTTTCGCTCTATTTCCCTTTGGTATTTCAACTTGATCTGCGTCAATTCGTCATCATACAACTGTTCACGATTATTATGTTGCTTTGTGTTCTTTTCAATTTGCCGCACCAATTCCATGTTCTTAGCCATGATACTTTTCACCTGCTCACGCAAGCGATCGCGTTCCATTTCCACACTACGCTTATCACGACTTCGTCCCATTAAACGCCGGTTCCTCTCCGCATGCATTTCTCGGCGATGACGTTCATATTGCAGCTGTAAGCAAATAAGCTGGAATTGTTCCTGCAAAATGATTACAAAATTGCATTTAAATAGTTACCAATTTATAAAAGTTTTCAACAAGCTCACCTGATCTAAGCCATTTATCATTTCATTTGTATCTTTTGATCGAATCGTACGCGAAACGTACAAGTCGAGTGTCTCCTGTGGGCCCAATATATTTGGTTCATTTTTTTTACGTAGGTTAACACTTTCCAATAGCATTTGAAACAAAGAATATTCATAATTTTGTTGCACGAACTCTATTGTCTGCGTCGAAACGTTATTGCGGATATTAACTCTATCGACAGTGTCAAGTATGTGCTCTTGTTTAGTCGGTATATCCAACATTTTTCCACTTTTTTGCAAACGATGCTGTGATTTGTCCGACTTTAAAGCGTTTTTGGATAATTCCGCATCAACATCATTGAAGGTTTGATGTAATAGCAGATTTATAGATGGGCACGATCTTGCTCGCCGGAAAGTTCCAAAATCAGCTACATCCGCTTCCGTTTCTTCAGTAAATCGGATACGACGTCCAATGCCATTCGCAAGTAAGAGTTGCACAGATCGACTTGTCGGTATTTGAAGTCCACCTTCGGTACACATTGATCGATCTGTTTCGTTGCAATCGCTACAAATTTTTGTAATATTCTCCAGTGTCGGATACGTGGATATTGGGGTTGGTACCAACGATCCGGACTGCGTGAAAATGTTTTGTGTAGGTGTAGGTGTTACTGATGGGGTTGGCGTTTGAGTCGATGTAGGGGTGGGGGTGTGTGTCGGAACAGCTGACATGCGCAACTGGTTGCTTCTGGTCATATCATGCATATCAGTGTCGGGCGTTCCACATTTAGCTAAATTAATACATAAATAAATTATATACCACCTTTTCAAACAGAACATAATTTGCTTTAAATACTTACAATTTTTTTCGTTGGGTGAACGTAAAGGTCTTGGTTGTTTGGCCAACATTGTATCTATTGTTTGAAATGGACTATTAGAACGACTACGGTCTAGTACGATTTGTTGTAATTTTCTATCGTATGTAGACACGCGGGTCACAACTCGTGTATTAACCTCCTGCTCAATTATCGTAGTCGTCGTTGCAGCGGAACCGCCGTCGGCTGCTAAGTCAGGGAAATTAAATTGATTTTGATTTTCTTTTCGCAGAGGAGAAGATGGTTGACTAGCAAAAATTACACACGCTGCTTGGGGATTTGCCAGATGCTGTTTAAATTCTTTCATAGGTGTAGTCTCCGGTGTGGCTTCCACAGCGGCTTCAGGTGGTGATGAACCTGTGAGGCCTGTAATTTGGTTGGTTATTTTTGAAGCAGCCGCGTTCGCAGAGGGCAACGGTAACATATAAGAAGGCGTGGGTGTTAATGGCATTGGTCCGGATGCTGTTATATCGCTATAAGGGCTCCAAATTGGACCACCACTCGTACTTCTATTTGCATCATAATTATGTTGCCACATTGGACCGTTGTTACTGCGTATTTGATCCATATTGTACGCAGAGCTGCTATCACTGCTTCTTTTCACCTCCAAGGTAAATCGGTCCTCACAATGTGTATCCAGGAGCCCTCTTAACAATGCGTCCATTTGTGTCGAATTGAAATCCTTCGCATGTAGTAAGTGGACATTCAAAAATTAATAAATATTTAATGAACGCATAACTATGTATTATATACCTGATGAAACATTGGTAGCGACAATCTTGCGCACTCTTCTACAACGTCATGAGGTTCTTTTTCTTTAAACCGATTGACTTGATTGACTTCACTTTCCATTGTCGCTGTTACTAACATTGGATTCATGCGTACGGTCTCCAGCAATGGCTCGATTGTGTGATGAAAAATTGCACCTTTTTCTTTTTTAACAAAATCACTTAAAAATGCCATAAAGTTACAAGGATACATTCCGTAGAGGCGATTAAATAATATTTGAAGCCCCAATTGAAGATGAACAAGCTTGTCACCATGGGTATGTTTTTGGTGTTGGAAATTCCACGAAGCTAAATGGCCAAACACTTCAAACAACTCACCGAAGAGGTTTGGAACTAAGTTAGGTATAATTGGTAGCAACGTTATTATACAAAGCAATGCGCTCATTAGTGGCACTATTCTTTCTTCAGTCTGTATAAGTAAAATTTATCATATCACATATTAGAATTGTATCTAAATCAATAGTGTTAAATTTTTTACCATTAACAGCTTAAAGATATCCTTTATAAGGCGGTGTTTTTCAATTTTGAATAACCAAGTTGGATTGTTGCGTACAACAAAAAATAATAATTTCAGCGCCTGTAGACGATGCGTTTGCAATTTAAGCCATTCAGAAACCCTGTCAAAAATGAATATATCATGTGGCGGCTGCACTTTGACCAAAACCTCCATAATTCGTTGGGAACCTGTTTTATAATAATACTCCATCATGTAGTGCACGGG